TGAACGATACTGATGTTAACAAGTACAACTGTTTATTTAAGAGATAGGATCAAAATCTTTACAACGGATACGATCAATTTGTCAGCAAATGTTGAGGGAATGATCCTAACCTAAGGAAACTTTCCCTGCCGTCCTCCTTGACCACACACACCCTCAGTGGGGGCCCCGACCACAGCCAAACTCGACAAACAAGGTTCCACACAAAGGCGGGCGAGCCGAACTCCTCCACAGCCGTAAGGGGGACCAAGTTTGCAAACTAGCGGCCGGACGGCTCCACAGCCGAAGGGGGGTCGGACGTGCAGGTTGGCTTCCAGAGGCAGGGAGATGTCCAAGGCTTGGTATCCGGGAGCCAAGTGCCTTACAGTTGGTTGGTTAATACGTTTATTGCAGCCTTTCGGTGGCCGCTCATATTGAGTTCAGCAGCATTCTGGGGTCCTCCAGTTCACCAATCAGAAAGGTTTGGAAGGACCAATCAAGAGGGGTTTTCTTAGCACCAATCAAAAGGCTCGGAGCCCAAAGCAAATACGAACATTCCAAAAACAAGCGCATACACAAAACAGAACACATTCCAAACGAAGCTCACAAGAGCAGTCATAAACAACAGAAAGCACATACGTACGTAGACAGAGAAGTTACCCATACACAGCGCAAAACCACCTCCGAAGTAGCGAGCCCAAATGCAAACATACACAAGACAAAACATTTCCAACGCGGGGTTCTGTAAACTAAGTGTAGCGTTACAGCGTTCACGTTCGCCCCCAGTTGAGGTCCCCCGACTCCGGTGGAATCCAACAGCCGTCCCGTGTAGACGGAAAGAACTCTCGGAGAAGGCAAAAAACATGAAGTGAAGCTAGAATAAATACTCGCGCGAGCAACACTTCGCGACAATGTCCTTCCAAAAATAGTTGATTTAGTGGTTTTCGACGATGCTTTACAAGTTTCTAATTGAATCCATATCTCTATTTCCACTAATTAAAAAGTTAATCAACGAATTTTAATTAATTAGCCGACTCATCGCAAAGATTAGCCACCCACATAATGTCCGCCTGGCCGTATAACCCACCTGCACAAACCGCATTAGTGTAGCCTTAACGGTATTTTTTAACAAATGTGTAAGAATAAAAAAAACACCCTGTATATATGAAACTGACGAATGAATGATTGAAATGACCCTAATGGCTCCGTCGCCATTAGCTTCATTCATCTGCATATGTTCGTTACATAGATATATACATGTATATATATAATAAGTCAGAGATCCGTACTTGCGGAGTTGCTATGCTAGGAGTTTATTGTACGTATTACGACAGTTTCGCCGAGAGGCTCGGCTTCGTCAGGAGATGGCATACATGTGAGGGCATCAGACTGCGCAAAGCAGTAAGCGGCCAATGGGGGGGCCAATGGGGGGCCAACGAAAGCTTGCGCTGGGAACCTACTGGGTTCGATCCCCGCCGCCCCCGCCCGTTTCGATCTGGATGAGTTTCGTACCGGCACGCGTTCATGTGATCACTACTGCGTGATGCACGTTAAAAATCCCAGGTTAGCGGTTGTACTGCACTGGCTAAATTTCTCATTTACAGCTAAGAGACCGATTACCCGTCGTGGCGCATCTCCATCAAGGCTGTATACACATAAAGAGCAAACCAATTTTGTTTATAATTTCGGTCGTCTAAGGCAAAACCGAAACTATCTGCTAGAGGGTTGGCATCACTGATCATCAGTCGTACGGCCGTGATGTGACGTCACACTGGTGGTGCGGTACGCGATACAACCAACGTTATTAGATTAGCTCAGTACTTATGAAACTGCTCACAGACGCTGCATGCACGAGCAGTAGACCCCCCCCCCCCCCCCCCCCCCCCTTCCCCTTCGCTCACCACGGCTCGCCTCCCGTCGTTCGACGCGCCGGGGACGGCTGCTATGGTAATTGCAGTCTATTCTATGGAATACATACGTTTTGAAGCGCAGCGTCTAGATTGCGTTGCACAGTACTGTATGGTAAACGCACTTATGAAACGAAAATCTAGATGGCGCTTCGAACGATGGGAGGTGTACTGATGTGGGAGAGGAAGGGGGGGGGGGGGGGGTACCCCCTTCCGCGGGAGTTCTACAACTGAGATAATCTAGTAACATTGGGTACAACCGATCAAGCACAGCTCCACCGTGACGTGACGTCACAAGGGTGCTCCGACAGTGTTGCTCGACTAAAAGCTAACCCGCTTGCCTCCCGCTAAAGAGGAGCTGGTCGCATGTTTAAGGTCGTTTTTATTGGAGTGCGCGGCTTCACTTCGACGTAATATTTCGACAGTGATCATATTTCCTGTAACTAAAGCGATGCCAGCCATTTATTGTGGTTTCATTTTCGACCGTAGTTGCCCTTTAATGGGCCCTAAAAAGAAAAACAAATGTAATTTTTTTAACACTCTGGTTTGGACGCGCGTGTCAACAAATAAATTTTACGCGAATAAAAAATAGACCAATATTAACGGCAAGAAATTTATTTGAATTACTGCGCGCAAATTACATGACGTCATTAAATGGTCATTCGCTCTTTCGAACTGAACGAGATGGTCTTTAGCACTACCCACCTCTCCTCCACGCGCGCAAAATTCCGAGTGAAAAAAAGTGGAAAGGAGATTACTACCGACTAAAACGCGTCCCGCGCCGTCAATGTTGCTCTATTCTTTCTTCCTTTTTTTTTTTCGTGTAAAATAACTTTTTGACGCACGTGACCCAACCAGACTGCTTAAATATATATATATATATATATATATATATATTTTTTTTTTTTTTTTTCAGGGGCTTTTTAAGGATAGTTCACACACTTGCGTTCGGTTCCAACTGGGTGAGCTTTGACCGTTTTCAAATCTCTTGCGACTTACGACAGGTTGCGCTGCTTCGCAACCGATCATAAGCAGCCCCAATGCGGCTGAGAAATTGATTGTAGCCAACGTTACTAGATTACCTCAGTTGTGGAACTCCCACGGAAGAGGGTACCCCCTCACTCACTTCAATCCGCCTGCCGTCGTTTGAAGCGCAGTCTATATTTTCGTTTCATAAGGGTGCGTCCCAAAGAGCAGAGCTGAAGCGCCATCTAGAAGCCGTGATTCGAAACGTACGTATCCCATTTCCAATAGAATACAATGCAGTTACCAAAGCATCCGTCCGTCGGCTCGTCGAGCGACGCCAGGCGAGTCGTGGTGAGTGAGGGGGAGGGGGGGTGGGTACTGTTTGCGCATGCAGCGTCAATGAGCAGTTCCGTAAGTGAGGTAATCTAATAACGTTGGTTATAGCGTACTCGGTTGCAACCAGAAGCAAGCATGTGAATCAACCTTTACATTTACAATACCAACAACCAGCATATGACTGGCACGTGTCTGCCGCTACTGCCCGGCAACGCCTTCCGGTGCCGCGTTGTCGCCGGGACGCGAACGCAGAACGAAGCAACAGCCAGCCTCTTCCTGCTAAGGGACTAATATCGATTAGTTTCTCCTGGCAAGACAGCCGAAACGTCTACACTTCGGGAAATTAGCTCTCCACCTTCAGGCTCTTCTTTTATTCTTCGCTCTATGCATCGTCGGTCGCCACCAAGACACGGGACGTCGGGACGTCTGCGACGATGCTTTATGATCTGCGTGAGCGCGTGCAAGGATACGGGCGGTGTTCGAAAGATTGGAGCTGCTGCTTCACTCCCCTTGGTTAAGGAGCTTGCTGCTCGGAACCCCTTCTTCCGGACGTGGGAAAAAGGGACTCTAATACGGCAAGCGAGCCGCTATGCGCTCTCCAACGATTTACGAGGTACAATCAAAAAGTTCCAAAACTTATTTTGTAGAAAAAAAAAAAAAGAATGCAGCACGGTGGTGCCCGGGCCACTGTCGAAGGCATCGTCTTTCATGTGCCCTTATGCAGAAAGGTGTCGTTGTGTGAACATTTCGAGCTGCATTACACGAGTTTTTGGTACCACGTGCACGGACACAATGGCGATTGCAGCGTGAACTGCAAAGCAGAACGAGAGCGAACATCAATTATGCGTCCCACTCGGCAAATCTGGAACAATGACCTTTCAAATGGTTCAGCAGGCTTATGTCAGGAAGCAGCGAATTGAGTGAGGTGTTGCCAGTGGCATTTCCGCTTCACCAACGGCACAGCATCACTGGAAAACAGAGCGGTCGAGCGAGGACCCCTATCTCTTTTCATATACTCTGCCATTCTTGAAGAGGGAGCGTTCTCAAAACACCTCGAACGACTCACTGCATTTTCACCACAAGCCGGCTTAACCCTTTCAAACATCTCTGTTGCACGTTTGTCCAGTTTAATTCAGAACTGATGTTTGCTCTGGCTCTGGTCTGCCGTCCAAGCTGAAATTGCCGCTGTGCGCAAGCACGTACAGCAAAGGCTCGTTTAGCGCAGCTCCAAATGTTCACGAAGTGATGCCATTCGGAAAAATGGTACATGAAGGGGCATGCCTTCGACAGCTGCGCGCGCCTTACAGTGCTGTTCCCATTTTTTACGCAAAAAAGTTTGCCTCGGAACTTTATGATTGTACCTCGTATATACTGCTGTAGATATATAATGAACAGAGTTATAGAGAGACCCTCCTCGGGTTCCCGAGTTTTCCGCCCGGAATACCTCTTCGACTTCAAGCCTGGCCTGACCCCTGCCTTTTCATTATACTGGAGAACTCCTCAGTCCCAACTGGGCTAACACGTGTAAATACCAAGCGCAACAGTCTAACAAGACACAATAGTCAGTTATTTTTAACCACACCACACTCCAAGAAACGCAACCTATTCTTAAGTTGTTTTTTTCTTGATTTTTTTTTCATGCAACCAACACATTATGCCATTCTTATACGACGGCATTAATGGCATCAAAGCTGCCTTCGAGGTTTCAAGAGAGTGTTAGCGTCACAGTGCAGACCCGGATGACCCCTAATGCGTGTTCTCCAATCCTACAGCCGCCCTTCAAGTGGTCAATAGTTTTAACTAAACTAATTGTCGTCAGCTAGCACGGGCAGTCCGCTTGTCTAAATTGTCCCCTACCACATTATCGCTAAACGTCCCCAGATGACCACCCTTCCCCACAGAGGGTCTAGGACTTCTTTTTGTCAGCGTCGTTGGCCCGCCGTTTATCGTTTTCAGATGTGCCCCACCTTGCACGAAGCACGTCTTGGTCATCTTGTCTGCGCCGGCATTTTGCCTTTTGATGTACGATTGCACGTAGAAGTTGACGAAGAGTCCCAGGATGAGAATCACCTGAGGTATAGCGATGTAGAGGAGGACCCGTGGGTAACCGCAGTCCACAAACATGGGTATCGACGCGTGAGCTATGATGACGACGAACTGGACAATCTGCAGCCTGGTCAGGTACCTCTTCCACCAGAGGTACTTCTCCACTGAGGGTCCTAGGCAGGCCAAGAAGTAGTACGTGTACATTAGGATGTGGAGAAAAGAGTTGAGGCAGACGCCGAACAAGGTTTGCCCGTCACCGCCGAACTGCAGGAACATCCAACCGCCGAGCACGACCAGGCTGTGATGCAAGACGTGCAGGATTGTGACGTGCGTGAACTTCTTCCTCATCACAAAGAATATCGTATCCAGCAAGTCGGCTACGCGTACCAAGAGGTACCAGTAGAGCGCGTTCAGAAGGCTGATGGCGTGTGGGTCCGTGCTGTACGTGAGGCCCTGGCAGAAGACGCTGTAACCCGCCGCGTAGAACGAGTGGTAGATGATCTGAGAGAGAAAGTACATGTTGGCCAAGACTTGAAAGAGGTTGTAGATCATGATGGCAACTTTGAGCTTGTAGGGATCTCTGTGCTTCATGTAGCGTGGGCCGAGATACTTGGATACGGAGAGGTAGGAGGCCAAAATCACAAGAACGTAAAACGGATTCTCCAGGGTTTCCCAGTTCTTGGTCCGGGGGTCCCGAAGGGACACAACAGAGATGAGCGGGTTCGGTCTGGTTACCTTTGGGGTCTCCATCACTGCTCTTTGACGGGTCCAACGGCGGAAAACTTGTAGGCACGGAGTCCAGGGGTTATGAAGACAAGAAAAGCGAGTGATAGTCACTGTTCAAGTGCTCGGTGACTGAGAATGTGCGGAAGACTCACACCCGACCTCAGCGAGAAGACTTAGCTCTTGACGCGTCTGATAAAAACAAGGTCCCTGTCAGCAAACTATATATGCAAAAAGCTGAAGCAAAAAGCAACAAAAAAATCTGTACATCGGAAACAATCGCTTAGGAACGAGTGGTGTAAGTGTGTGGTAATGTGAGCTGTCCCCGGATGCGCGATACGGAGAGGCTGAAATAAAATGCGACCTTGACACGGGCTGTCTTCTCTCTCAGTGTAGTGCCCCTTACCGACAATAATCAAAAACAAAAAGCAGCTACTCGTTCGTTTGTCTACAAATGATGTGTTGCTGAAAATTGTTACCATCCTGCAAGTGTAAGAAAAAAGTGTTTTGTTACATTGAATAATTAATGTCACCTTTGGGTAAGTTAAGAATTCAGTACTATATTTGGCAGTGCTGAGCCACCGATACAGACTTCGAGAATGATTATTGCTTTGAAAAGTAATTTGAAGGTGCTTGATATATTTTTCATAAAATATGTAGAATACACCTGCCTTTTAAAAATAAATATATTGATTGAATTTATCGTGATAAACAGTAACCTTTATGTGTAAACAAATAAAATAATAATTACAAAAATCTAAATAAAATAAAAATAAAAAATATCAATAAAAAATGCTCGTTTAATTGAAAAGTCACAACGCAGCGACCGATCGTCTCCAATTTTGAATGGATATGTATCATTTGAGAGTCCATACAATCCGGTCTAAGAGGTGTGCTACAAAGGAATTGGAATTTAAATGTTCGCCAAAGCACTGTAAGGAAAAAGGAAAGAAGTATAAAGAGGAAAGAAGAACTAGATTCAACCTATAGACAGAAGACATGTCGAAGTCGAGTGTAAGGAATAGATGCTGAAGCGACCAATCGTATGCGTAAAAACTATGCTTTTATTAAATATTAATAAAATCCACAAAGTACAACAATAACAAAAAGTAAAATTAGCAAAAACACCAGTAGACTAACAGAACACTGCGGCCGTGAGGAATTCTGTGGACCGAGCCATTAGTATGATTAACCGACCAAAGATAGAAACGTAACTCATTTGTCTTGCCTGGAAGCAATTACTAGCAACAATTATTTTAAAAAAAACGTAACAATAACAAATACATCGTTATAATAATCTTAAAAGTTTGTCACAACGACAACTGCTGAAGAAAGTTTACCGAAGCAGATCAGCATCAAGAAAGAAAAAAAGCTTTCCAAAAACTTTTTTATTTGTAGTTTTATTGTAAACAAAATATTAAAGAAATACGTCCCTGGATGAGAACGGGAAAAAAATTCATCAATAATATTGTTGAACAAATTTCCCATCCGGTGCTTTAAGAGTATTTGTACCACTCCTCTCGAACGGCAGGAGCGGCAGTAGTTCAGGTTGGTGATCTTTTCTTGTGGCAAGACAGCCCTCCCAGGACATAGGCGTGTAACGTAGGGCAGGGAGTTTGGAAACGCGACAGAACAGCACGCGACAAAACAGCAAGCGACAGAAAGAGCACGCGTCAAAACAGCACGCGCCGAAACGGCATGCACGGCGTCAAAACAGCACAGCGACAGAAGAGCACGTGCCAAAAGAGCACTGCGTCAAAACAGCACGTATACGGAAGTGCCTGCTGGTTTTCGGTGTCGTTCTATTTTTCTACCTAAAATATAAAATCAACCCCTTGCCAATGGAGTTAAATTCCTCGTTGTCTTCGTGCGATTGAGTCTTAATTCGTTGACGCTGGAAGCTTCAGATTTATCTTTATTGTTTGTATCACCGAAGCTGCTACATATTTTTTCGTGTTTAGCAGATTGCTGACGCTGCCCTTCATTGCCTAATGCAAAAGAATGAAATAACGTATTAATGTACAGTACTTTGCGGGACACTACAACACTTTCATATTACGTTTAATGGTTTTCGTTTAAGCCACATTACAGATAGAATATAATAAACCTAGTTCATTTGAATATTTTGTTTTAGTGGGAGGTATTCAGCGCATATTAAATTTCACACCTTTAATACAAAATAACATCGCGCTATTTTTGCGAATATTTTAGGTCGCGTTTTAGTTGTGCGTCATGGCCTTTACACACATAGCTCGCAGACGCTATGCAAGAAAACAACAGAAACCTAAAAGCTAAAAGGACTGCATATTTATTTTGTTGAATTTCTTGGGTATTTCGGTCGCATTTTACCGCACATCGACAGACGCTGACAAGCACTTGCATTTGACCTTGGCTCATGCATAATGAAACGCTAATTTGCCGTTTCATGGTCGAGTCTCGGGGTACCGGGGCGAGGCTTGATGAATTGGGTATATCTCTAAACTCAACCTTCAAGCTGAGGAACAACAAGCTTTTCGTCAACGGAGAGTGCTACATTTATGAATTTATGATCACTTCACCAACAGTATTCAATTAGCAACTAAAAGCAATTCCATCGCACCTGTCTTCGATGACCAAGTAAATAGAAATCCTTCCATAAATCTTCAATAGCCTGCCGCGGGGGGTGGTAGTCATCTTGAACGCTTGCCTTGTGAGAACGTTTCCGTTCTCTTTACCAATATCAGGAGTGTTGTTCCCAGAAAGGAGGACTTATGTTCAAGTATTGACTCATCTAGTGCTGACATAGTTCTAACCAAAACCTGATTAAAAAGCGAAACCCGCAACTCTGAAATTTTTCATTGTAAAAAGCACTTCAAGATATCTCGCCGAAATAGACAGAGCGGGGATGGAAACGGTTTTCGTATTGTTGTCGCCAATTCTATTGCGCCATTCTATATTAATGTGGTCACTGACCTTGAGATAATCTGGGTTTCTGTTTGTATAAATTATAACAAGTATGTTTTGGGTGTCTGCTATCGCCCTCCCACAAGGATCGCCAGTTTTGACACCGAGCTTCACGATCTCGTTAACGCTATCCATGTCCGCTTCTCTAATGTGCCTGAAAAACTCTTGGGAGACTTCAATTACCCAAACATTGTGTGGACAAGTGACAGCCTTTTCCTTAACCCATTTTTCATGGAGAGTAATGATTTTTTTAAACTTCCGTGTACAGATTTTAGCTTTTCGCAAACAGTTATGCAGCCTACACGGGGAACTAGTTGCACTATATTGGACCTACTGTTATCCATGTCAAGTGAACTTATTTCCTTTCTCACCCATTTACCCGGTCTTAGGGATCATTCTTTGTTGCTCTCCTCCTTAAATATTCCAAAGTGTCAATCATCGAAAAGTGTTAAACGCATACATGACTATGCGCATGCTGATTTTACTGCAAACAACAACGATATGAGTTGATTTTTGGTGGAATATCTGCGCAACTTTTCCGAGCGTTACATGAAAGCTGATTGGTGTTCATTTAAAAATAAAGTCAATTCTCTTACGAACATGTATATCCCTGCGGGTGCTTTCATCTCAAATCGGGCAGACTAAAAATGCAACGGAACTTGTAAAAAATTGTTTCTCTCTAGAATGGTACAAAATAAACGAGGGTGGCTACTCATTATACAGCCTATTACGATTGAATGATAAATTCTCACACCATTCAAATTTTGTGCATAAATCTTCTGGAATTTTTTTAACGGGTTTCAAAAGTGGACAAAAATATACATTCCCCACTTCTTCATCAGACGCGCCCAGCGAAGAGCGACATGGCTCGAGAAAGCGCATGTGAAGTCAACGTGCCGTCATCTAGCACTTCGATTTTGCTGAAAATTGGAGTGTCGTGATGCAGCGTCGGTGCAAGAACATCACTGGAAGAGCAAGTTGGTTTTCACCTTTACCTGCGTGGCTGCAACCGAACATCGAATGTTAAGCTTCGGCGTATTGAGCGATGGTTCATGACTCGTCCCATGTGCTCTTTGCGCTCAACGTTGTCGAAGGGCGGCTGGAGGAAGTATTGCCTATTTTCACGCAACTCGTTTATATTTCAGACGGTGCTCCAAGCCACTTCAAAAACAGGCACTAAGTGTACGATTTCCAAAAAAGGAATGCCGTCACCAAGCGGATATTCTCCGCATCAGGGCATGGGAAAAGCTCGTGTCATCGAGTGGGCGGAGAGCTCAAGCACCAGGCATCCATGTATGACTTGACAACTACAACATTGTACTCCATAAAGAACGCGCAAAGCTCGCTGAGGCACTCAGACCGAAGGTCAAAGGAATTGTTCCACTCTGAATCGCCAAAGAGAAGCTCAGCGTTTCCAGAAGCTCAAAAAAAAAATTTGAAGGTAAATTTACCAAGGGGCATCGACCCTTACACGTCTGGAGGAAGACACTGGAGGAAGGCGCCTTGAAAGTTGCCCTAGACAAGATTTGCGAATGCACAGAGTAACTGCATACATGTCTCAAGTCATGTACGTGCCCCTCAAACTTAACGTCGCCACTCGGTTTCGCAAATATTGATCCATTCAATTTTATTGCATGCTACCCAAACATAAATGGATCGCTGCAGCTGCTGGAATACCTTCCCCTGGTTAAATTTTCATCGGGGATGCAAATCTTTACCAACCATTTTGACTGCTATGTTCAGAAATAGCTCAAAGAGTGAAGAAACCGAACCATCTCGTGGCGGCGTTAAGTTTGAGGCGTACTGTACGTGGCGCTTTGTGTCCCGAAATTTAGAAAATCATCAGTGAGTGCGTGCCGGGATGTTCAAAACTGCAACTGTGGACTGCGTGGTTTCTATACAGTGCATGAAAACTGATTCACAGTTACGTCGAACTATTAAAAAAATGTACTGATTTCGAAAAATGTGCCATCGATGTTTTTGTGTTTTTTACTGGTTCTGCGAGCGCGTTTCTACATTACTGAGGTGCACGAACTGCGCAGTCAACCGTCGGCGATCAGCAAGATGTGAGGATAACAAAGCCC